TCTTCTTCAACACCTGTCGGAAATGATGGGCAAGGGTGTCATTGTAGAGATCATTGATCCTGTTGGCCTCGGCTCTGTTTGAATAATGAGTGTTGGTAAACTCCTGAACCTCTCCCCATTTGACAAGGAAGTTTTTGTCAACTTTCACTCCTTCTGATGATGTCTTGCTTTGTTTCAATTGAAATCATCTTTTTGTTTTTTAGAAGCCATGATTTGCACAACACTTGAATAAATGTAAATACCCTGCACTGAGGTGATGTAAGTAATAAACAAGGGAGCAAGCCGAATCCCAACGAGAGCTCTGTACTTCAGATATAATAATATATTCTAATAATACTAATATATTATAAAAATAGCAGATTGTCATTGGCAATGGCAAAAGAGTGGAAACATCATTCGCACTTGTTCACAGAAAGATTGTTGTTTGCCTCATGTAACTGCTGAACAGAAAGTCCATTGTTCGCAGCCAGTCCGTTGCTTGAGTCACGTAATGGCCAAACAGAAAGTCCGTTATTCAAGGCATACGTTATACAAGGCACCACTGTATTAACAAGTAGAAATCAAAACATGTAACATCGAAAGGAATGCCAGTTTTATAGTAGTTTTGTTTTGGTTTTGGAAAGTGAGATCATTGAGTAATGTTAGATATACTTTTTGAATTTTAATTTTAATTTGTGTTTGTTTTTGTTGTTTAAATAATTTGTTATAGATGTTAAATTAATTATATATTGTCTTTTCAGCTTCCTTCAGGAGATACACTAGAAAGAAAATTTGATATGCTTATTAGAAATTGGCATCAAAATCCTGATATACTTTTTAGTATTCATCCAATTGATGGAAGTCTACTTGTTTGGTATGTTATAGTAAAATTATTAAAATTTTATTAATTGTGTATGCAGACAATTAATTGAATGCTGTCTAAAAGTGAAGAAATCTTTTATATAGACATATTTTCAGCATATAATGCATTTTTTCAACTTATATAAACCAAGGAAAAAGAACACGTATCAAAGATTTGGAATTTCAAAATGAAGAATTTGTTATTTTATGTAAGAATGTGGACAGTTTTAGTCGTGTATACACGCATGCAGTATTCTGTATACATAAGCAATATAAAAGTAAAAACAATAATGAAATTTAAACATCTTTCTTAGAAAAAGACATAACTTATAATTTCATTTATGCATTATAACATTTATATTCATAATAGTGCATAGTAACTTTATTAACATATTATTTAATTTGTTTATTTTATTAATTCATTTAATTCTACTTATTAACTTAACATGTGAAGAATTTTTATACTTTAATAAAATGGATATTAAATGTGAAAAAATAAATGCAATAACTTTGAAAGAAATTGCAATATTGCTAGATTGAAAGTATGGAGATATGCTAAATTATTTCTTAAACACTATGTTTGACAAAATCTCTTTAAATATTATTCTATTTATAATTTCTTATATATATAAGAAATTATAACATGTCAATGCTTTTATATATATATATATATAAAAGCATTGACATGTTATAATTTCTTATATATATAAGAAATTATAAATAGAATAATATTTAAAGAGATTTTGTCAAACATAGTGTTTAAGAAATAATTTAGCATATCTCCATACTTTCAATCTAGCAATATTGCAATTTCTTTCAAAGTTATTGCATTTATTTTTTCACATTTAATATCCATTTTATTAAAGTATAAAAATTCTTCACATGTTAAGTTAATAAGTAGAATTAAATGAATTAATAAAATAAACAAATTAAATAATATGTTAATAAAGTTACTATGCACTATTATGAATATAAATGTTATAATGCATAAATGAAATTATAAGTTATGTCTTTTTCTAAGAAAGATGTTTAAATTTCATTATTGTTTTTACTTTTATATTGCTTATGTATACAGAATACTGCATGCGTGTATACACGACTAAAACTGTCCACATTCTTACATAAAATAACAAATTCTTCATTTTGAAATTCCAAATCTTTGATACGTGTTCTTTTTCCTTGGTTTATATAAGTTGAAAAAATGCATTATATGCTGAAAATATGTCTATATAAAAGATTTCTTCACTTTTAGACAGCATTCAATTAATTGTCTGCATACACAATTAATAAAATTTTAATAATTTTACTATAACATACCAAACAAGTAGACTTCCATCAATTGGATGAATACTAAAAAGTATATCAGGATTTTGATGCCAATTTCTAATAAGCATATCAAATTTTCTTTCTAGTGTATCTCCTGAAGGAAGCTGAAAAGACAATATATAATTAATTTAACATCTATAACAAATTATTTAAACAACAAAAACAAACACAAATTAAAATTAAAATTCAAAAAGTATATCTAACATTACTCAATGATCTCACTTTCCAAAACCAAAACAAAACTACTATAAAACTGGCATTCCTTTCGATGTTACATGTTTTGATTTCTACTTGTTAATACAGTGGTGCCTTGTATAACGTATGCCTTGAATAACGGACTTTCTGTTTGGCCATTACGTGACTCAAGCAACGGACTGGCTGCGAACAATGGACTTTCTGTTCAGCAGTTACATGAGGCAAACAACAATCTTTCTGTGAACAAGTGCGAATGATGTTTCCACTCTTTTGCCATTGCCAATGACAATCTGCTATTTTTATAATATATTAGTATTATTAGAATATATTATTATATCTGAAGTACAGAGCTCTCGTTGGGATTCGGCTTGCTCCCTTGTTTATTACTTACATCACCTCAGTGCAGGGTATTTACATTTATTCAAGTGTTGTGCAAATCATGGCTTCTAAAAAACAGAAAGGTGATTTCAATTGAAACAAAGCAAGACATCATCAGAAGGAGTGAAAGTTGACAAAAACTTCCTTGTCAAATGGGGAGAGGTTGAGGAGTTTGCCAACACTCATTATCCAAACAGAGCTGAGGCCAACAGGATCAATGATCTCTACAATGACACCTTTGCCCGTCATTTCCGACAGGTGAAGAAGAGAGAGAAACAGACCACCTTAGACATGTTTTTCAAGAAGCAAGCTGCCAAAAAACAAAGGATAGAACAAGAGGAGATGACCCTGCAAACTCCGGTATCCTCTCTTGAAACTGACTCCGATTAAAAAACAATAAAAAGAGACTTGCTGCAATGTGTAAAAAATCTGTATCTATAAATGTGTAAGGAAAGTGTTCCTCCACCTCCTCCTCACATCATCTGAATACCCGGCATAATTGGTGACTGCTCCATTTTCATTTTTTTTATGGTACAGTATGGTTATTTTATGCTGCAGAACGAATCATATGTTTTAACATGTATTTCTGTGGGAAAATGTGTTTCGTATAACGGACTTTTCACTTAACAGACGTTCACCTGGAACGGATTAAGTACATTATACGAGGCACCACTGTACATAATTCAACAAAATGATTTAATTAAAATCTAGAAGTGAATCAATGAAATCATGTAATATAATTTATTAACAATCTTATCTTCACAATAAATACTGTAGTTTAAACATTGAATTTATATTAATATACATGTAATGATTATAAGATAATTAACATAAGTAAACAAATATCATGTTAATTAAAACCTAATGTTTCTATAACATTATCTGATGCTGTATAATGTTTATAGTTGAAAAAAGATCACTGAAGTTATTCTTTTTGTTAAAAGTAAACTGTAAATAAAACTATTAGTTCAAAAAAATTGATTTTTACTAATGTAATATCAACAATAAGGGCAATGTGCCAGTCAATAAGTAAAAGTGAAATTGAAGCACTTGCCAGTGGCCCTTCACACACTAACATAACAGTCATCCACTCCAAAACAAAACTGAGATTCATTGCTAAAAATAATATGCTGCTAGTCCACAGCAGTTCATGTTTCTCTATCACAATACCACTGTAAACAAAACTAATAATGTTAGGACACTAATGATAAGATGTGTAGCAGTTGCCATGCATACAAATTTGCATCTGCTAGTCAGCTGCCAATGGCACAGGAAGAAACAGGATTTTGTAACAATACTTCCATCTATCTCCAGATAGCAGACAAAAACACCATTGCAACTGCTTGTGCTTGTCTCATAATCAGATGATCATCTCTCCTAATAGTATGTCTCGTGCATCCAGACCCTGTCTACCATGTGCATCCTCAGTATCCATTGCCTCCAACACCTCTTCCTAGTTAGATGAGAACAGTCCAGATGGCAACCAGTATGGCAAAATGGCAATGCCATTTCCTTTAGTCTGATGAAGCAGCATTTCTCCATCTGTCAGATGTGCACAGTGCCTTCAACTGTATCATATAGACATGCCTGGCATTAAAAGATCTTTAAACAAAAATACACAGAAAATGCCAAATACAGTGAGCCTCTGCAAGCCTTTCTAGCCTCTTATAGGATAGTGAAATAACAATCTTAAGGTAATTTGATGACATTATGTGGCATGCAATTGGACCAAAACTATTCATTTCCATACCTATCTAAGACATAGATGTATGCTGAGCTTTATAGTAATCAGACTATTCTGTATTGGTGCATACTAGATGCATCTAACTACTTTTGCCAAAGAGTGTATATCTCTACCAATAATTACTGATAGATATATACTAAATCAAATTTTTAAATTTATTTAAAACCAGACAACCTGTCAAATTGTGGCTATGATTAGACTAAGTTAATAAATCAAGAATGATGTTACAATAAAGTTAAAAAAAATGAGTAAATATTTCAACAACATGAAGCAAAATTAGAAATTTTATCACAATTTTACTGAGACATAATAATTTCAATAGTTTATTAAGATTTCATTAAACCAAAAAATACTATAAATTATTAATACTAAAATCTAAAAAGTTACATAAAAAATACAAATCTACCTGAATATTGGATTGAGTAGCATCGGTTGCAAGTGAAGCTGATGATGATCCTCCGGAGCCACTTTGTTTACTAATGTCATCATCAAAACTTTCTTGGCAGTCTAATTTTGAACTCTTCATTTTATTTTTATTGTTTTTATAATAAATATGTTTAACATCTAAAAATGAATTTTTAAACTTTCTTACAAACATGTATTTAAAATCAATAAAAATAAATTATTATTATTCAAATTTAATATCTAATTTTAGAGATATTATAATAAGAAATGTATCAATAATAATATGATTTCAATAATCTTTTACATCCTTTCATAGTTTTTAAACTACTAAAGCATCATTAGTGCCTACTAAGTAAATATCAAACTCAGTGTTTTTAAACACTTAACAAAATATCAAACACCATCTATTGCTGAGAATTTTTATTTAATGAAACACTAACATTTTCAGCCTCATAGAATAGGCCATCTTCAGGTGTAATTGAATTCTAATGTATTTTATAATTGTAAGAATGGAATGTCCAAAGATTATACATTCAAATTTAAAACAAAAATAATAGATAAAGTAACAAATAAATAACAAAATAAAATATACTAAATACACTGAAGCAACAACGATGCTTCAGTGTATTTAGTATAATGCCAGGGATGCGGATGGATTAGCTTCTGCATGGAAATTCTACATAAAAGAAAAATTAAAATNATTCATACTATTAAATGTATTTTATATTAATAATGATAACTGAAATATAAAGTATTTAACATATATATAACTTATCTATAGAATTAAAGCAATAAATCATGGTATCAGAAAGATCATCAGTATTTGCTTCATTATATAAAAAGTTTCACTGAAAAGTCAGTATTAAACAAATGTACTTTTTAATTAATAAGGAAATAATTTTCAATTGAAAACTACACAGAATATTCACAAGCAAAATTACTTGAATGAAACATACGAGGGCTGTTCAAAAAGTATCAGACCTTTGGTCGGCAAAAATACATTTATTGATTTTGAGGTACAAAACCCTAATCCCATTCAAAGTAGTCTCCTTGGTAGTGTATACATTTCTCCCAGCGTTCCTGCCATTGCTGGAAACACTGCTGGAATGCATCTTTTGGAATGGCCATCAGCAAGTCTGTCGCATTCCGCACGATGTCTTCTCTCAACTAAAATTGGGTTCCTTTTAGCGGCATTTTCAGCTTGGGAAAAAGCCAAAAGTCACACAGAGCCATGTGGGGAGAGTACAGAGCGTGACGAACCACAGGAGTGTTGTGTTTGGCGACGAAAGCCTGAATCAGATGTGCAGAATGGGCGGATGTGTTATCAGGATGGAGCTGCCAAGTTTTGATCAACCACAGATCCGGCTGTTTGCGTTGCACAGCATCGAAAAGATGACGAAGGACCTGCTGGTAGTACTCCTTTGCAATGATTTGGCCTTGTGGTGCGTACTCACAATACACCACCCCACGAGAGTCGAAAAAACTATCAACATAACCTTGATATTGCTGCGGACCTGCTGCACTTTTTTTGGCCTCGAGGATCGTCCTCAAAAGCCTGCTGAATCTTGCAAATGGTTTACGCTTGGGTATCGCCAAGGTTTTTGGCAAAATTTGATGTAATATCACTGCTCACATTGTTCAGTCATTTTCCAACTTAGTGGAATCTGACAAGAGCTCACTACATATCCTCACTTACAGGCCGACTGCCAATGACTGACGCTTCCTGCAGGCGGGAAAAAATTCAGGGCTATGCATGACTGTCCCCTCCACAACTCCACCGAAAGAGGCCTCCCGCGCATCATTGATTTACGAGGAAACAATAAAAGTCCAATACGTTTTGAACAGACCTCGTATCATATCAAAAGAATATGTCCTGAAATTTCTGATTAAAATCCACTTTTCAATAAAATGTACTATATTCTATTGCAAAGTAATCAATTATATTTAACATTTTTATAACATATTCAAATTAATTAACTTAATACTTTACATTTAAAACAATATATGAAATTTTATTGCTGATATCACTAATAAAATATGAAATTATTAAAATTTTGCTAATTAAATAAAATGTAAAAAATTAATCATATTTGTAACATACAAATTCAGTTTTTTTTCTTTTGGCAGATGACATTTCAGCTAATAAAGTTCTAGCATCAATAACAGCTTGATAAACTCTTAATTGATGGCCGTCTGATGCTACAAAACAGGCACTTGGAGAATTAGAAATTCCACCTAATGTTGTACTGTATAAAAAAATTAAGTAAAATCAATAAAATTTTGACATAAAATTTTTAAAATATTGAATAATTTACAATATTAAAATATTTATATGAAATTATTTGAGTAATACAGATATAATCTTGAATTTTAATTATTCCAAGAAGATAAATCGTTGTTCAATTTACCTGCTTATCAGTTAGATTAAATATACATAATTTAAATGTTTTCAATCTAACTTTTAATATCCATCATTAATAATTTCCAATTGAATTCAACATTATGTTATCAATTCATTATTAACACTTAACAGAAATGTAAAACATTATTCTTCAAAATTTTAAAATACACAAAATCAAACACTTGGTAGAAATTGATATATAACTAATAGAAGATTTTTCTATTTTTAATTATTTCATGTTTTTAATCAATTCATTACATTCTACCTTTGGTTTTTTTTCCAGTTATATTTTACTGAAAAAATATTCATTCATAATTCCTAAGAATTAATCTTCATTTCTTCATATATTTTAACCAAGTTTTAGCAAACTTTCATCTTTAATTTATTAGATTATGTAGTTAATGATAACTCTTCAACTACAGTCAGATCTAAACTTGCAGTTATAACTACAATCTTCACATTAATTTTTTAAAAATTTATATCTATGTTCTATATCTTATGCCAAAATATTTTTAAGCTTATTTATTAATCGGTACTATTACTGATTTAAATACTACTTTTCATTCCAGATTTTTAACTTCCACATATCCCTAAAGTAAACATTTGGCTATTTATTGAGGAATATATTGGTTACAATTGATGTGCATTTATACCCATTTTTAAATCTTTTTTTTTGCTAATTTTTGATTATTACAAATTAAAAATGCCTTTCTGGGTAATGGCTTCTCATGCTCTTACTGATTACAAAAGGTTCTCACTCAATTTTAAAGAACATGTTTTAATAAATAAACTGTTCATTTGGTTGGAATCATTTTGTTTACTAGATAGAATTACTTATTTTGACAAATTACAACATGTCATATTTTGAATTTAAGGATTTTGGACAATACACATTAAAAAATCAATTTAAAGGAGTATTTTATTATAATAGTTTTATTAGTGTCATAGTGTAATAAAATTATAATTAAAGTTATTAGCATTGAAATAAATAAAATTAGCGATGTTCAAAAATATTAAAATTAAAGTATTTAGTAATACCATTTAACAAATTTTATATATTTAAAATTATGAAGTGTGTTAAGTCCCCAATCACAAAATTCTTAAAAATTAAAATTTGAATTCATAATACAATCAAATTTAAAAAATAAACAACATGATTGCACAAACCTAGGAAGTAAGGTAGGAATCCATGCCACATTAGCAAAAGCAGATATTTTAGGAGAATTAAGTCTAGCCAATTCAGTGATTCCACCAGATTTTGAGAGAGGACCCACTGCATCTACTTTCCATAAAATTAATTCACTACAGAAACCACTTGGCAATGAGCTGCTGAAACAACAGGAACCTGCTGGTTGATTTTCAAGAGAAACTGGTACAGAACTTTGGCCAGGTAGATTATGATGTGAAGTAGTTAAAAGTAAAGGCAAAACAGGATGGCAGGTGATATCATTAATTCGAAAGCGATGCCCACAAACTCTAGCTGCATGACTAATTGTCAATACCTAAGAAAATAAATGTAGATATTAATATATATTTATTTATTTAAAATCTAAATAAAACCTTTTAAATATTTGATTTAAACTTCAATAACATTGATATCTTAAATTAATTTTACTCTAGTGTAAATATGGCTTTTCAAGTAGAAGTCAATCATTACATCATTACAATCTAGTTATATATATATATATACTTATTTAAAAACATCTAGTTTTAAATATAGTAGAATATATTATTATTAAAATTATAGCATAGTAATTTCAGTAATTCATGTTTATATTTTGCATAAAACTATACCATATGATGAAAAAAGTTAATATCTATAGCAATTGCTAGAATGAATAAATTAAAACTGATCAAAAATACTGTTTGAGAGTATTACAATATTTTATCCATTTAACAAATGAAAACTGAAAATTCAAAAATAAAGTTTTTTAAAGAATTACAACAATAATCCTGAATTAAAGGAAAAACTAATCATCAAAATGATGAGACTGTGTCACATTTCGATCTATGTTCTTTCATTTTTATAAATAATCAACAATATCATTCTTTTTCTAGCATGAAATTTTATCTTTATTTTTTAATATTTAAGCTATTTAACTTTCATTTAAGTTATTTAGTGTTTTAATATTTATTAATAATAATAATAATAAATAAATTACTATTATTGTTATTCTATATTTTATAAAAAAGAAAACCATTATAACACATTCATTTTATATATTTCAGCATATTTTGATAACGTTATATATAAAAATTCTGATATTACTTATTGTAAATTTTACATACCTGAGTAAAACTTGAATTTTCTCCAAATGTTAAATGCCATAAATTAAAACTACCATTATTATGTTTAGAAATCATACAAACAGTAGGTGTTGGTTGATTTTGAACAATTGAAACAGATGAAGATTTTACAATATCTTTTGAATCCATCTCAAAATCATTGCTTTCTTCATGTAATGTATGTTCAACAGAATTTGACTTTTCTGTATCTTTTGCACTTGAAGTTTTTGTAGGGCATAAATTTAATTTACAATGAGGAAGATAAATATGAATTTGATGTGACATTGTTGCTGCATCAAATAATGGTATAACATTTACTTTACGAAGAGAAAAATTAACTTGAGCTTGTCTAAAAGTTCCAGCATTATATTCATCTAAATAATATACAAACCTATAAAAAAAAAATAAATATAACTTATATTGTGTAAAAATAAATAAAAATTATAAGTTATAATGCATTTTTTCAAACCAATTTTAAAAAATTTGTAAATGTAATTTAAATTTAAAGATATAAGAAAAATGAGAAAAGATGAAGTAATTAAAAAAAATAATTATAAAAAATATAATAAAACATCAATATTCTAAATATACAAAGCAACAGTAATATAAATTTAAAACAAATATATAAAAAATTATTTTATACTTGTCTACCAGAGGAAAAAAAGAAATAAAATCACTATGGATAAATTATAAAGTTAGGCAAAATACAAAACAATAAGAAAAAAATAATGACATAATAAACTTACTTAGTTTTTTCTTAAAAACATAAATATTTACTGTATATGTTACTATTAAAAGGTTTTAAGCTGTATTCTAGCTTAGTATTTAAGCTAGAATACAGCTTAAAAACCTTTTAAATGTACTTTCTACAAAAATTTCTAATAATAAATGCAACAGGAAGAAACATAAAGAAATGTTATTACAGCATCAGAATATTATAGAAAATAATTCCATTAAATGAATACATATGACACACATTTTAAATTAATTTTAAGATAATTGTATAATTTGTATTTTAAAAAATGTATGAGTTTAAATATTCTAAAGACATTTATCTTTGAAACATCTTTTCATTAATGTATAAATTACAGAAGTATAAAGTGTCATACTTCATAAATACCAAAGTAAACGTGTTATACTACACAAACTATTCAAATATTTAATTAAAATTTAACATAATAACTAAATTATATTTATTAACAAATTTCTTTTAATGCCCTTTTAATGTCACAGAATTTTGATAAAAAGTATGTACATAGAAAGGAAATAAAAAGAAATACTAATATAAAAATTTTTACATCTTCCAATTAAAAGTCTGATTTCAAAATGTTTTGAAATTTTAGATTTAAATTGCTTTCAAATATTTGAAACCATTTCTAAAATATAAATTTATTTTGACATAAAACATGTTATAAAGAAATTATAACATGTCAATGCTTTTATATATATATATATATAAAAGCATTGACATGTTATAATTTCTTTATAACATGTTTTATGTCAAAATAAATTTATATTTTAGAAATGGTTTCAAATATTTGAAAGCAATTTAAATCTAAAATTTCAAAACATTTTGAAATCAGACTTTTAATTGGAAGATGTAAAAATTTTTATATTAGTATTTCTTTTTATTTCCTTTCTATGTACATACTTTTTATCAAAATTCTGTGACATTAAAAGGGCATTAAAAGAAATTTGTTAATAAATATAATTTAGTTATTATGTTAAATTTTAATTAAATATTTGAATAGTTTGTGTAGTATAACACGTTTACTTTGGTATTTATGAAGTATGACACTTTATACTTCTGTAATTTATACATTAATGAAAAGATGTTTCAAAGATAAATGTCTTTAGAATATTTAAACTCATACATTTTTTAAAATACAAATTATACAATTATCTTAAAATTAATTTAAAATGTGTGTCATATGTATTCATTTAATGGAATTATTTTCTATAATATTCTGATGCTGTAATAACATTTCTTTATGTTTCTTCCTGTTGCATTTATTATTAGAAATTTTTGTAGAAAGTACATTTAAAAGGTTTTTAAGCTGTATTCTAGCTTAAATACTAAGCTAGAATACAGCTTAAAACCTTTTAATAGTAACATATACAGTAAATATTTATGTTTTTAAGAAAAAACTAAGTAAGTTTATTATGTCATTATTTTTTTCTTATTGTTTTGTATTTTGCCTAACTTTATAATTTATCCATAGTGATTTTATTTCTTTTTTTCCTCTGGTAGACAAGTATAAAATAATTTTTTATATATTTGTTTTAAATTTATATTACTGTTGCTTTGTATATTTAGAATATTGATGTTTTATTATATTTTTTATAATTATTTTTTTTAATTACTTCATCTTTTCTCATTTTTCTTATATCTTTAAATTTAAATTACATTTACAAATTTTTTAAAATTGGTTTTAAAAAAATGCATTATAACTTATAATTTTTATTTATTTTTACACAATATAAGTTATATTTATTTTTTTTTATAGGTTTGTATATTATTTAGATGAATATAATGCTGGAACTTTTAGACAAGCTCAAGTTAATTTTTCTCTTCGTAAAGTAAATGTTATACCATTATTTGATGCAGCAACAATGTCACATCAAATTCATATTTATCTTCCTCATTGTAAATTAAATTTATGCCCTACAAAAACTTCAAGTGCAAAAGATACAGAAAAGTCAAATTCTGTTGAACATACATTACATGAAGAAAGCAATGATTTTGAGATGGATTCAAAAGATATTGTAAAATCTTCATCTGTTTCAATTGTTCAAAATCAACCAACACCTACTGTTTGTATGATTTCTAAACATAATAATGGTAGTTTTAATTTATGGCATTTAACATTTGGAGAAAATTCAAGTTTTACTCAGGTATGTAAAATTTACAATAAGTAATATCAGAATTTTTATATATAACGTTATCAAAATATGCTGAAATATATAAAATGAATGTGTTATAATGGTTTTCTTTTTTATAAAATATAGAATAACAATAATAGTAATTTATTTATTATTATTATTATTATTNGTCCATTGTTCGCAGCCAGTCCGTTGCTTGAGTCACGTAATGGCCAAACAGAAAGTCCGTTATTCAAGGCATACGTTATACAAGGCACCACTGTATTAACAAGTAGAAATCAAAACATGTAACATCGAAAGGAATGCCAGTTTTATAGTAGTTTTGTTTTGGTTTTGGAAAGTGAGATCATTGAGTAATGTTAGATATACTTTTTGAATTTTAATTTTAATTTGTGTTTGTTTTTGTTGTTTAAATAATTTGTTATAGATGTTAAATTAATTATATATTGTCTTTTCAGCTTCCTTCAGGAGATACACTAGAAAGAAAATTTGATATGCTTATTAGAAATTGGCATCAAAATCCTGATATACTTTTTAGTATTCATCCAATTGATGGAAGTCTACTTGTTTGGTATGTTATAGTAAAATTATTAAAATTTTATTAATTGTGTATGCAGACAATTAATTGAATGCTGTCTAAAAGTGAAGAAATCTTTTATATAGACATATTTTCAGCATATAATGCATTTTTTCAACTTATATAAACCAAGGAAAAAGAACACGTATCAAAGATTTGGAATTTCAAAATGAAGAATTTGTTATTTTATGTAAGAATGTGGACAGTTTTAGTCGTGTATACACGCATGCAGTATTCTGTATACATAAGCAATATAAAAGTAAAAACAATAATGAAATTTAAACATCTTTCTTAGAAAAAGACATAACTTATAATTTCATTTATGCATTATAACATTTATATTCATAATAGTGCATAGTAACTTTATTAACATATTATTTAATTTGTTTATTTTATTAATTCATTTAATTCTACTTATTAACTTAACATGTGAAGAATTTTTATACTTTAATAAAATGGATATTAAATGTGAAAAAATAAATGCAATAACTTTGAAAGAAATTGCAATATTGCTAGATTGAAAGTATGGAGATATGCTAAATTATTTCTTAAACACTATGTTTGACAAAATCTCTTTAAATATTATTCTATTTATAATTTCTTATATATATAAGAAATTATAACATGTCAATGCTTTTATATATATATATATATAAAAGCATTGACATGTTATAATTTCTTATATATATAAGAAATTATAAATAGAATAATATTTAAAGAGATTTTGTCAAACATAGTGTTTAAGAAATAATTTAGCATATCTCCATACTTTCAATCTAGCAATATTGCAATTTCTTTCAAAGTTATTGCATTTATTTTTTCACATTTAATATCCATTTTATTAAAGTATAAAAATTCTTCACATGTTAAGTTAATAAGTAGAATTAAATGAATTAATAAAATAAACAAATTAAATAATATGTTAATAAAGTTACTATGCACTATTATGAATATAAATGTTATAATGCATAAATGAAATTATAAGTTATGTCTTTTTCTAAGAAAGATGTTTAAATTTCATTATTGTTTTTACTTTTATATTGCTTATGTATACAGAATACTGCATGCGTGTATACACGACTAAAACTGTCCACATTCTTACATAAAATAACAAATTCTTCATTTTGAAATTCCAAATCTTTGATACGTGTTCTTTTTCCTTGGTTTATATAAGTTGAAAAAATGCATTATATGCTGAAAATATGTCTATATAAAAGATTTCTTCACTTTTAGACAGCATTCAATTAATTGTCTGCATACACAATTAATAAAATTTTAATAATTTTACTATAACATACCAAACAAGTAGACTTCCATCAATTGGATGAATACTAAAAAGTATATCAGGATTTTGATGCCAATTTCTAATAAGCATATCAAATTTTCTTTCTAGTGTATCTCCTGAAGGAAGCTGAAAAGACAATATATAATTAATTTAACATTTATAACAAATTATTTAAACAACAAAAACAAACACAAATTAAAATTAAAATTCAAAAAGTATATCTAACATTACTCAATGATCTCACTTTCCAAAACCAAAACAAAACTACTATAAAACTGGCATTCCTTTCGATGTTACATGTTTTGATTTCTACTTGTTAATACAGTGGTGCCTTGTATAACGTATGCCTTGAATAACGGACTTTCTGTTTGGCCATTACGTGACTCAAGCAACGGACTGGCTGCGAACAACAGACTTTCCGTTCAGCAGTTACATGAGGCAAACAACAATCTTTCTGTGAACAAGTGCGAATGATGTTTCCACTCTTTTGCCATTGCCAATGACAATCTGCTATTTTTATAATATATTAGTATTATTAGAATATATTATTATATCTGAAGTACAGAGCTCTCGTTGGGATTCGGCTTGCTCCCTTGTTTATTACTTACATCACCTCAGTGCAGGGTATTTACATTTATTCAAGTGTTGTGCAAATCATGGCTTCTAAAAAACAAAAAGATGATTTCAATTGAAACAAAGCAAGACATCATCAGAAGGAGTGAAAGTTGACAAAAACTTCCTTGTCAAATGGGGAGAGGTTCAGGAGTTTACCAACACTCATTATCCAAACAGAGCTGAGACCAACAGGATCAATGATCTCTACAATGACACCTTTGCCCGTCATTTCCGACAGGTGAAGAAGAGAGAGAAACAGACCACCTTAGACATGTTTTTCAAGAAGCAAGCTGCCAAAAAACAAAGGATAGAACAAGAGGAGATGACCCTGCAAACTCCGGTATCCTCTCTTGAAACTGACTCCGATTAAAAAACAATAAAAAGAGACTTGCTGCAATGTGTAAAAAATCTGTATCTATAAATGTGTAAAGAAAGTGTTCCTCCACCTCCTCCTCACATCATCTGAATACCCGGCATAATTGGTGACTGCTCCATTTTCATTTTTTTTATGGTACAGTATGGTTATTTTATGCTGCAGAACGAATCATATGTTTTAACATGTATTTCTGTGGGAAAATGTGTTTCGTATAACGGACTTTTCACTTAACAGACGTTCACCTGGAACGGATTAAGTACATTATACGAGGCACCACTGTACATAATTCAACAAAATGATTTAATTAAAATCTAGAAGTGAATCAATGAAATCATGTAATATAATTTATTAACAATCTTATCTTCACAATAAATACTGTAGTTTAAACATTGAATTTATATTAATATACATGTAATGATTATAAGATAATTAACATAAGTAAACAAATATCATGTTAATTAAAACCTAATGTTTCTATAACATTATCTGATGCTGTATAATGTTTATAGTTGAAAAAAGATCACTGAAGTTATTCTTTTTGTTAAAAGTAAACTGTAAATAAAACTATTAGTTCAAAAAAATTGATTTTTACTAATGTAATATCAACAATAAGGGCAATGTGCCAGTCAATAAGTAAAAGTGAAATTGAAGCACTTGCCAGTGGCCCTTCACACACTAACATAACAGTCATCCACTCCAAAACAAAACTGAGATTCATTGCTAAAAATAATATGCTGCTAGTCCACAGCAGTTCATGTTTCTCTATCACAATACCACTGTAAACAAAACTAATAATGTTAGGACACTAATGATAAGATGTGTAGCAGTTGCCATGCATACAAATTTGCATCTGCTAGTCAGCTGCCAATGGCACAGGAAGAAACAGGATTTTGTAACAATACTTCCATCTATCTCCAGATAGCAGACAAAAACACCATTGCAACTGCTTGTGCTTGTCTCATAATCAGATGATCATCTCTCCTAATAGTATGTCTCGTGCATCCAGACCCTGTCTACCATGTGCATCCTCAGTATCCATTGCCTCCAACACCTCTTCCTAGTTAGATGAGAACAGTCCAGATGGCAACCAGTATGGCAAAATGGCAATGCCATTTCCTTTAGTCTGATGAAGCAGCATTTCTCCATCTGTCAGATGTGCACAGTGCCTTCAACTGTATCATATAGACATGCCTGGCATTAAAAGATCTTTAAACAAAAATACACAGAAAATGCCAAATACAGTGAGCCTCTGCAAGCCTTTCTAGCCTCTTATAGGATAGTGAAATAACAATCTTAAGGTAATTTGATGACATTATGTGGCATGCAATTGGACCAAAACTATTCATTTCCATACCTATCTAAGACATAGATGTATGCTGAGCTTTATAGTAATCAGACTATTCTGTATTGGTGCATACTAGATGCATCTAACTACTTTTGCCAAAGAGTGTATATCTCTACCAATAATTACTGATAGATATATACTAAATCAAATTTTTAAATTTATTTAAAACCAGACAACCTGTCAAATTGTGGCTATGATTAGACTAAGTTAATAAATCAAGAATGATGTTACAATAAAGTTAAAAAGAATGAGTAAATATTTCAACAACATGAAGCAAAATTAGAAATTTTATCACAATTTTACTGAGACATAATAATTTCAATAGTTTATTAAGATTTCATTAAACCAAAAAATACTATAAATTATTAATACTAAAATCTAAAAAGTTACATAAAAAATACAAATCTACCTGAATATTGGATTGAGTAGCATCGGTTGCAAGTGAAGCTGATGATGATCCTCCGGAGCCACTTTGTTTACTAATGTCATCATCAAAACTTTCTTGGCAGTCTAATTTTGAACTCTTCATTTTATTTTTATTGTTTTTATAATAAATATGTTTAACATCTAAAAATGAATTTTTAAACTTTCTTACAAACATGTATTTAAAATCAATAAAAATAAATTATTATTATTCAAATTTAATATCTAATTTTAGAGATATTATAATAAGAAATGTATCAATAATAATATGATTTCAATAATCTTTTACATCCTTTCATAGTTTTTAAACTACTAAAGCATCATTAGTGCCTACTAAGTAAATATCAAACTCAGTGTTTTTAAACACTTAACAAAATATCAAACACCATCTATTGCTGAGAATTTTTATTTAATGAAACACTAACATTTTCAGCCTCATAGAATAGGCCATCTTCAGGTGTAATTGAATTCTAATGTATTTTATAATTGTAAGAATGGAATGTCCAAAGATTATACATTCAAATTTAAAACAAAAATAATAGATAAAGTAACAAATAAATAACAAAATAAAATATACTAAATACACTGAAGCAACAACGATGCTTCAGTGTATTTAGTATAATGCCAGGGATGCGGATGGATTAGCTTCTGCATGGAAATTCTACATAAAAGAAAAATTAAAATATAAAAATTCTTAGTTTGTACCTGCCCTTATAGTTTGATGCATTTTTATGTATTTATTTTATTTACTTTTTATTTTATTTTATTTATTTCATTATATTATTTATATCATTGTTGCTTCAATGTATTTAGTATATTTTATTTTGTTATTTATTTGTTAATTTATCTATTATTTTTGTTTTAAATTTGAATGTATAATGTTCGAACATTCCATTCTTACAATTTTAAAATACATTCGTATTCAATTACACCTGAAGATGGCCTATTCTATGAGGCTGAAAATGTTAGTGTTTCGTTAAATAAACATTTCTGAGCGACAGAAGGTGTGTGTTTCATTAGTGCCTACTTCGAATTATACCCTTTAAATTTCCACCTATCTGTAATATGTATCAAACACCTTTGAGTATTCTCTCTGTAAAATTTCTATTTTCCTATTACTGCTGTTTTTAGCTGCTATTACTATTTGATTAACAATGTCTCTTCCTCTTATAAACTGAACAGTTTTTTACATTCCTTACTACTCTTTTATACTATAATCTGATAGCATTTTCTTTTGTACTTTTATTTCGTTTATGTTCAACAATTTATTAAAATATATTAATATAAATAAATAATATATAATATTTTAAATATTGTTGTAGTCTAGATCTTGTTTAATTAGATTTTGTTCAATACTCTTTTATTTGAAGAAACATTAATCTTTGCTAAAATAAAATAAAATTTATTTATTTTTTTTAAAAAAGATTAAATTTTTAGAGAAAAAAATTAAGAAATTACTATAAAACACCTCTAAATTTTAGTTTTGAAGAAAATACTTAGAAGTAGAAAGCAAAATCAGACAAAAATTTTCTTGTATAAACATTTTATAATAATTAGATATAAATGAATTATCCACATCTTTTATGAAATAATTATCAGTATAGTTCTTACATAACTTTGTTTCTATTTCTGTCATCAAGAGTGTTATTAAACTACATTAATCAAAACATAACATACATAACATGGTTACTTAAACTTGGTAAATTGCTCTGTTTGATTGAGTAAATGTATAAGAAAGTTTTTCTATAAGATCCAAATATGTTATTTAATTTTATACATTACATTTTATAGACAAACTTTAAGAGATAATGCATAGAAATAATACTTTTATGGTATTACTTGATAGATAGTGGAAAGATAAATAAACAAACTAATTTGTAAACATTGGTTTTTATGTAAATAATTGATAGCATTAAATTAAGCAATTAATAATATCTGTTAACTAAATTAAATTAAAATCTGTCAAAATATTTTTTTAGATACCTGAAAATATATTTGTTAAATTAATATCATTATTCATATGTTCAATATGATTGTTTTCATCAAGTTTCCACATATTAAATCAAATATAAAACAAAACAAAAACAAAGAAAAAAAAAACACTAGAATGGAATGTAGAAGTCAGATATTTAGCAATAAAATATTTTTTGGAACCACAATGTCACTAAACATTTGGCTTCTACATACCATTTGAACATATTTTTTTTTTTTTTATAATTGTAGAGTTGATATTTAATGGAAAATTAAATAAATTTTTATGAATCAATAACAATTCTTCCTTACTATCTGGAAATGTTTCTGCATCTGAATGGCCATTATCTGCTATATCCACATCACCATTTAAAACTTTTTGGCTAATTTCTTGTATTAACTGTTCTGCTGCTACAGTGAAAGTCATCTCTTTATTATTTAACCAATGTAATACAAAATTTGGCTCAGTATTGCTGCTAATTCCAAGCATCGTTGGAACTAAAGGAATGTCTAAAAAATAAAATATGATGATTAACAAGTATCTACAATAATACTCCTTTTTTCTGTTTCACTTAACACTGAATTTCAAAAATTCATATATCAATTTTAATATTTTAACACATTAAAAATAAATTTATTTACCTGTTTCAGCATTAATGCTTGCTGCTAAATGAAAATGTACACCAGGAGTAATATTGGAACCATGTAATCCAAAACTATGAAAATCATGAACACTGTATGTACTAGGAAGAGTAGGTATAGTTTCATGTTTATCTTCAGTAAACTGAGATGCTTGCCTTCGTTTATATTGACTGAAAGATCTATTTTAAAATTTAAAAAAATTAAATTAATCAGTTTCTCACATTAGTGTTTGTCTGTGTGAGGGGAGCAGGATATTGTTTACTCTGTTTGAGGCTTTTTACTCCTGCGCTTTTTGTTAATATGATCCTGAATATAACTAAAAAATTTGTGCGCTATTGGGGAATCCCCGAGTTTCCACTCCCCACCTAAACTATGATAGAACAACGTTCGCTAGCAGCGCTGTGTCTGTAGGCACATCCAGTTAGAAATATTTACATTCAAAACAAAAGTGCCCACTAACTAAACATTTCCATAGTATTTTATTGCTAATAATATATCAAAATAAATGTAATTAAAGTACTTTTATTTCTTTGTTTTTATTAGGAAAATTATTTTTCGTTGCCTGTGACGCNATAATAAAATAAAGTTTTTGCTAGAAAAATCTGTTTAAAAACAAAATAATAATAATTAAATAAGTAAAAAATGCTATGAAAAAAAAGAAAAATTGTTTTTAAAAATATATCACATGAAAATCTTTGAGTAAGGAAGAAGTAAAGGAAGTATCTCCTTAATTGTCAATAGTGCAATGAGTCCTATATGCACCTAATAAATATTCTCTCTATTATAAAATATTTTGTAAATATATTAGATCTGTGTAAAAACTTTAGACAGTTGTAATGTATTTGAAAACTTAAACTACTCAACTAGTCTGAACTATCTGATTGAAATTATCTTTCATTTAGAACAACATAAATTGAAAGATTCAAAAGCATTTCTTAAATAAAATAACTTAGTTCCCTACAGCTGAATCTATCATATTAAAAGATTAATTAAATAACTAGTTATAATTATGTATAACTTTAAAATTTTATTTAATTCAAGATCCTAAGAAACTATAAACTGTTATATTAAATGAATATTAATACAATATAATGCCAAAAATTATATATTATATATATTATAATTTTTTAGTTTAATAAGAAAATGAACAAATATTCACATTTACTTACTTAATATGTTTTAGCTGCTGCATAATACCTCTGCGGTGCCTATGTGATTGGCGTTTTGAGTTATTAGCAGTAACAGTTTCAGTATGCTGAATATCAGTTTTACCTTCTTCTGTAAGAAGCGTTTGAACCCATAATCTACATGTATTATCTCGACATGATGTAATTAGCATATTAGCAACACTTTCCCTACAATAATAAATTTTTAAATTAATTATATATTTGTACTTTTTAATATAAGTAATATTATTCAATCTTTTCTAGAAAAATTTCATCCAACAAACAACTTTTACTATTTATCTACTTTAAATGTTTATATACAGGGAGTAGACAAAAACATTACACAAGACTATATCTCATTTCTGTTACATATTAGCTAAATAAAGTGTACAAGAGTATACGTAGTGAGCTATTCAATGGCATAGCCACCATGCACCCACAAACCCGCTTCTCATAGGGCCACACCAACCTTAGCACTTAAAAAAAGATAGTGGCACATTTTAAATTATAAAGTCATAATGCACCTCAAAGTTAACACAAAATGCTGTTTGTTCAGTTAAAATAATCAAAGAAGGAAGCACTTGGACACTGTCAAAATTGGGTGAGGAAAACTGCTTGGCTTTTCTGCAGGGCCTTATGAATGCAAAACCATGAAGAGAAGCCAGATAACTTGATTATTAATTTTAAAATATGAAGGCAAAGTCCAACAAAACAGTCATCCTTTTTATTCACTTTCATGTTACAGAATATAATAAATAACAACCATGACCTTTGCAGGCTACTTAGTTGTCAAATATTTAGCTGGAAATATACATCAGTGGTTTTCAACAAAGGTGCCACAGCACACTAGGATGCCACAGTGACACTTTTGAGGTTCTGTAAAATAGTGCTGAGTAGCCCTGTAACACTTCTTATGTGCATTTACAGGGCCACATGTGCCATGTGCCCCTGTGCATGGTACATGGCACATGGTAGTGACTGACTGGACCCTAGTCAAGGGGCCCAGGTTCATGGGGGTCCAGTATGAAGATGGCCAGCTTGTATTTTTTGTTTTTTTGCATGATTTAAAAACAAGATTTGAAGCTGCAAATGTTGTATGTGAATTATTCTCACCAATTTTAGATTTCCAAAACTTAGGTGAAAGTGAACTTTCCAAAAATGCAGCAAAACTTATAAATGCATATGACAGTGATCTGACAAAAGACTTAATCCATGAAATAGTTCACCTTAAGAATATTTATAAAACAGTTTTCCGCACTGAAAAAAACCCAATTGGAATTCTGTGTGTGATTTATGATAAAAGACTTCAGGGTTTATTTGCCAATATTAGTCTCACAATTAAGCTGTTTTGTATGGTGCCAGTAACTGTTTCTTTGGCTGAGAGGTCTTCCAGTAAACTGGCAAATTCACTGAAGACGTGGAAAAGAAACTCAACTGGTCAGGAGTGACTAAATAACCTAGCAATTTTGTGCATTGAAAATGATTTAGCTAAACAAATAAAACAAATTTCAGTGACATGATCAAAAAATTTGCTTTGGCAAATGCCAGAAAATTTACTGTGAAATAATTTAATCAATAGTTTCTTTGGTTTTGTCTTGTTGATGTGCTTTGTTTTTTATTTTCGTCATTCTTTCAGTTCTTGTGTTCGTTCCTATTTTGTTTTTGTTTTTAATGTTGTGCTCATCATTGTAAAATTTGTCAGTGTAATTCCTCTATTGTCTCTAACAAATCTAATTTATGTTTTTGTAAATGCATGCTTAATTTGTGAATGAAAATAATAATTTTTGTCATTTAGCTGCCTTATCATATCCCAAAGCAGCCATGGGGCCGAGTGGTTAGGTCCCTTGCCTCACACCACTAAGGTCTCAGGTTCGAGTGCGGAGAGGGCTCACCAATGATCCTAGTCTGGGGATCCCACTGTAGGATGCAGAAGCCATACTTATGTGTATTACTAGAAGTATAAAAAGTGCAATAACTTTACATTGATAAAGAAGAAGGAGGTGATGTAAGAAAAAAATTACAAAGTTGGGGTACCACTATTAGAAAAAGATTGAAAAACATTGATCTACACACTAACAGTGTTTCTCCCAGTAGATGAATGCTCCTGCAATAGTCCCAGTGCCATATGGATGCAAGAATGAAAGACATCCACTTGTTCCCATTTCAGCTTTGGAAAATTTTTTACCTTTTAATCTGATATATTTCTTGTGTTTTTAAGGAAAATTTAAATTTATTTGATGATTAAGTAGCCTACAAAGAAAGGTCATGGCCATCATTGATTTTTTTTAATTGATATTAAAATTGTCATTCTGTGAATTTTAAATGAAATTTTTAATTTGAAAATTCTTTATTCAAAACCAAAAACATTTGAAATAACTAAATAAATTCAAGATCTTTAATCAGTTTTTGAAGTAATTTACTTAAAAGCAATAGTGATGATTAAATTATAATTTTACAATTAAAATTTTAACTATATATTTGTCTGGTAAAAGTAAATGATATTAAAAATTTCTTGTAAACTTTCTAAGATAATTTCATAATGTTAATGAAATTATCATTTATTAACATGAAATAAATTATCATTTATTTCATGTTAATAAATGATAATTTCATAAGCTATTTCTAAATAACTTACCTTGGCATGTATTTACTTGTTTTTCTCCATGAAAAACCAGTTACTGCTCTTGGATGAGCAAGATATATAAAAGTATAACTAACATCATTTAATATTGATGATGACCGAACCATTTGAGATGTAAACATTCCTAAAATAAGATATCATTATTAAATCATTCTCCTGGATAATAATTTTTAATTTTAGTAAATGTACTGTACATCCAAATAATCAAGACAGTTGTTTATCTACAACAGTTTTTGAAATGTACAAACCTACTATATATTACATTATCAAATTTCACGTAATGATAACACTCCATAAACCATTGTTCAAATAAATAATAATTACATTTATAAATTATAAATGCAAACTGTAATTCTGAGTCCTTTCAACATTACTATAAGTTACCAATACTGTGATATTGGTAACTTAATATAATACAATTATAAATAATTTAGAAAAAAACATACCCTGTACTTACCAAGTTTAAATAAATCATTCAACAAATAAATGAAATATATAATTGCTTCTACAATTTTACTTTAAAAAACCAAATTTGGAATAATTGTTAACTATAGAAGAGTAGAATATTCAAGGAAAAATGCACATAGTAGAGTCACAGATTGAAAAATCAACATTTCTATTAATTTACCTAATAATAATTATGTATAATTCAGCTATTTTGTAGCATATCTGAATGTAATGTGTATTTTAAAAATATGTAATGTTCCATTTCCAAATTTTGTGATTTGTCAGGTGGACATTATGTTTAAACAGTTTTGGAATGTGTGTTCTTTCTATTGGAGTCTAATTTAAGGGGTGACATTCAATGTAAAAATGGCTGAAGACAGGTGTTAAACACATCCACAAATGTTGGTGAAAAATAATAAAATAATTTTACTATTAAAATCTTGAAAATATTTATATTTTCAAGATAAATATTTTCTAAAATTATTATTTAATTAAATAATTTCTTGACAGATGACAATATAAATGAATCTGATATGAACTGGAATGAGATATAAATCTGACTTATGAAGTCAGATTCATATAATAATTATTTTTGTAATTTAACTCTACTATATCATTCTGTAACTTATTTCATTACTCTCATCAAAGTTAGATACAAGAACTTACTTTTTAGTAGTAACTTTCTCATTTTTGAAATTACTTTATAGAAAAAAATTGCAATTGTATATGATATTTCAAATAAATTCAATAAATTGTCAAAATATATAGTTTTAGTTTAATCATTATAATAAAAATAATCAGATACTCTTCTTGTGTAACATATATTAATATATTCGTAGGACCCAATAAATTTTAAGAAATTGATCCTAACTGTCCATCAAAATTTTATTAACAATTTTTTTCTGTATTAAAACAAATTCTTAAAATGTATAATTAATTACACAGTTACCCATCATGCTATATTATTATTGTTATATAAAAAGTTTTTTCTTATGTCAAAATAAGACATAAATTAATAAATGCTTTAGTATAATTTATTAAATCCTAATTATGTTAATAATTTCCTTACCTTTTCTGCTTTCATACCAAACTTTAACCAATCTATCTGTTTTACCAACAGAAGCAAATAACGAACCATCTGGAGAGAACTTCAATAAATTTACTGGTTGAGCTGTTCTGAAGAAATAAAACTATATTAAATATCTAGCATAAATATTTTAACATTTAGCATAAATAAGCCTAGTTCTAAAATTTTCAAGCATCAAATAATTTTTTGTAAAAAATCAGCAAAACAGAAATGTAACACAGGTTGTTTCAAAATGGTCTTTGGAAGATCTTTCAGGAGGTACTGCAGGAGACACTCAGAGTTTATATGAAAGAGAGCAGCATTAGATTTTACAGGAACTCAAACAGTTTACAAGTGTACAGGCCATTCTTTTTCACTGAAGAAACAGTAATAGGATTGGCGTATCTGGATATGTTACAGATGTGTCTTATGCTCCAGTTGCTCGATAACCCACATTTCATTTTTCAACAAGACGGTTGTCCTGTCCACTTTCATAGCAAAGTCCATCTCTACCTGGATACAGAGCTGCCAGGCATTAAATAGGATATGGATGTGATGGATGATTGCAGTATGCTATCTGACTGGAGAGGAGTACTTAAGGTACTTGAAATGCAATTTGAGGCTCAATAAAATTTTATTGCATCATGTGTTGATTTCAAAATTCAGTTAAAAGAAGAAAGAAGTTTATTATTTCAGATTCATTACTGACATGATCATCACAGTCTTCATTATCATCATGTTTTGTATTGCCACCTTCTAAGACATAGGGAAAGTGTGTCTTAAAATCATCAGGTACAGTGATTTATAAAATTTAGTTTCTATAAATTTTATAAAAACTAGATTTTTACAAATTTTATAAAATTATTTTACTTTTGTTTTGTACTTGAGTAAAACAATAAAATTGTTTTACTCATCATCCCTCTTGTGAAGCCAATCACTCACTATATAATGAAAAAAAACTTTTGTAAAAACAAGTACAATAAAACCTCTCTTATGAGTCTATTAATTTTTTCTCTCCTTATCTCAGCTGTTTGTAACAATTCAGCATATCTCTTGTTTATGCTATCATATTATATATACAGCACATATTTGAATTTTCTTTCATTCTTGACTGATTTCTTTATATTCTTAGTTATGTTCAATACTTTAATAGTAGATAATATGACAACTTCATTTACTTACTTGCATTTCCAAATGCAGTTCCATTTAGATTGTTCTTCAAAATCAAATGTAGGCTGATCTGAATCATTTACTTGAAAATTTATTTCTTCTTGGATTACATCCTCTGTTTGTGTTGATAAATGCCACATTTGAATATATTCTCCAGCTGTTAATAATTTACTACCTGAAAAATAATTGAAAGGAATAATATTGAATAATCAATAAAATTCAGAAGTTGCCAATTAAAAACTGGCAACCTAATATTGTTTACATTTATAGAAATCTAAATATAAAAAGTTATAAATAAAAAAATTTTGGATTAAAGAATTCTTTTAAATTATTTAAAGAATAATGCATTAGTCAGTCTTATAAAATGAAACCAATGCATTCATTGATACAGTAGAGCATCGATTATCCGACCCCCGATTAACCATCACATCGGTTAACTGACCGTTCTAGTCGGCAGATTTCAAATGTCCGCTAGTGATGTGGCGCTACAATATTTGGCTATGTCTTGGCTACTTTAATATTTTAAATTTTTGCATGTTTTAGCTGGCAACAATGGCTTGACCATGAAAGGGAGGCCAGTATTTAAACTATACCTAATTTTCTAATTATGAGTGGTTGGTTGTTTTGTGAGCAATAAAATAATTTTAAAATAATTTATAACGATACAATAGTGACGATTATTATTTTTAAAAAAATTTTGTTAGGATTAACATTGATGAAAATTCATTGCAAAGTAGGTTAATAGCAATATACTAATATACTAACTACATGGGATATACTAATATACTACACTAATAATGTATTTTTTTCATTCTTTCCGGTTATCCGATTTTTTCAGTTATCCGACCAACCCGAGTCCCCAATTGAGTCAAATAATCGATGCTCTACTGTACTTAAAAATAGCAAAACATTGTTTAAAATGAACTACAGGTATCCCTCATACTACACAACATTCTAGAACTCAAACTGCGACACAAAAACTTTCAAATGAAGCCTTTTTATTCAAATTTTAGAATGTTTTCAGCAAGTTTGAATGGCCTTCGTCAGGAACAGAAGAATCAAATGATTCTGAATTTCTATAACAACATTTGTTCTGGAACTTTTTAATTTTTGAATTTTCTTAGATGTCTAGTTTGCAGGCTCATGCATAAATAATTACAATCTATATTAGTACTTGTACCAATATACATATAAACTATACATACATATAATACATGAATAAATAACTAACTAAATCAGGGGTGGCCAAACTTTTTAGCAGGCGGGCCAAATTTCAGAAATAATATTTCCTGCCGGGCCACGCACCTAATTTTTTTTTAAATTAAAGTAAACAAGCAAGCGTGCTACAGCTTCAACCGCATCGTTGCTTTCCAGTAGGTTGAGATCGTGGTCAAACACTTGCCTGGTTTAATGTAAAAAAAAAACACACAAAAAATAGGTATATTTATTTTTTTAAGAAAATGAAACATAACCGAGAATCATTTATTTAATAACCGAGAAACATATTTATTAGACAATTTAAAAATATTTAAAAGTGAGACATCTGACTTTGTTTTACAGAACAAACAAGTGCATCAAAATTGATCTGGACTGATATTGTCGCTACACGCAAACAGTTTTCCAAATGAACATCAGTAATTCGTGTTCTCACTTGTGATTTGATGTACTTCATGCGACTAAAAAGTTGTTCACACGCATAAGTGTTTCTAAATAGCGAAACCATTGACAGAGCATGTTTGTAAAACGCAAGATATTTATCCTTGTCCAAATACGTTTCATAGAACTCTTCCAAACCTTCTTAACTCTTCTAATGTTCATTTGGTGATATGTACAATAAAGTTAACATTTATGTTCATTTGACCTAGCTCCGCGGGCCGCAACACGACTCCCGGCGGGCCGCATGCGGCCCGCGGGCCTCATGTTGGCCACCCCTGAACTAAATAAAATAAAAAAAATAAATAAGTAAATGAAAAGCATGAGAAACATGTTGAAGTTTTGCACTCTATATGATAATATAGTTTAGAGTGATGAGTTATTTTGTTTACTTTTTCTGCCCTGTAAGCATAAGAAGGCCTTTATTCAAGCCCATTGCATGTTTAGCCAGGCCCCCTGAGCAGCCAACTATTGAAGAATGGAGCCTGACATATCCAGGACAGATCAGTGAGAAATTTCTGTGGTTTTTTCAACTTTCTTGGATTTGATCAGAAAATAGACTGATGTCTTAACTGCCTCACCATACAGCCAAGATGAGTTTGAACTACAGGATGGATAATCAAGATCCTAATTTTGACAACATTGAAATAGACAAAAATGACAATGTTACAACCAAATCAAAAGATATTAAACTGGATTAACTAAAAAACCAGTAATTATTTCAAATGGAACTGTAACCTGCAAATTGAGATAATTTAGATATTTCATTCAATTTTTACCTAAATGTTTCCTAGGGGATATATATGTTTTAAAAATAAATCCTCAAGACTGAATCAAGGAAATATGGTACATATAATCAAGAATTTCCAAGCTTTTAACTAGCTAATCAATTTTTGTAACTAAGTGTTTCCACAATTTCAGCATACATTCTGAATCTGAAAAATTCTCACTTTTTGGAAAAATTTTTTTCACATTCAGAAACAGATATCTCAAAATGATTATGTTTTACAATACTATCTAGGAAAATTAAAACTAAACAGATAATCAAAAACATAAAATGTTAAGAACAGAAATGAATTAACAAAGTATATATAGTTTTTGTAACAAATGAGAAGTTATATTATACAATCCATTTTAGGGATTCCACTTTTATCTATTCATGTCTAAGAATGGCTTATTAACTGGATCAAAAATGCTAAAATTTCTCCAATATAACCCACTGTTAAACAGAAATTGCTTAATTCAGTAAAATATTATACATTGCAAGAATAAAAATATTATAAAAGCATAAAATTTATTTTGTCTTATTTGTAAAGAAATAAAATACAATAAGAAATAAAATTCCACATTGCATTTTATTATATTCTACTTCATGTTTTATTTAAATGATTCTAATGAATACAATTAATTATAATCATTTTTTTTCTGTCACACTTATATTTTAAAAAGCAGGAAGCATAGGTTCATCAAAACAAAATAATTCAAATAATTTATATAACTTTTTAAAATTCATTTAACATGGACAAATAATTTCAAATGCACAAACAACCTACAACTTTTTGAGTTAAATTCATTTTGTAATATATAAAACACCTCAAATTTTAACTGAAAACACACGTTAACAGATGAATTTATTATCTGATTATTAGTAATAACAAATTATTAATTAAATATATTTCAATGTGTCATTAAAAATTAGCAGTTTTAATCAAAATATTTTGAATAAAATTGCAAATAAGGCAAACAATGAGTATATATTTTTGCGATGATCCAATAATCAAGCAATTAGTCATAGCAATGTCAAGAATGTATTAATTAATCTTAGCCCATCAGTGAGTTAAAAAAGCATAAAAATATGTTTTATTTACAAATTACAAATTAAACTCATACATAATTCTCAATCTGAATCATATATTAAGAATTAAATAAACTGAATACAATAGAATATACTAAATAAATAAACTGGATACACTAATACATAATTGAAATAAAACTATTATTATTACTTATAATAAAGAACATACCATCTTGATTCCAAGACAATACATGGATATAGCAATCAGACTCAAATGTTGCTGTCTGCACCCATCTATAATCTAAACGCTATTATATGTATTAAAAAAAACATTTATTTTAATAATATAATTTGATCCAAAATATTAAAATACAATATATAAGCTATTACTAATATTATAATAGTTTTCAATAAAAGAAATTTAAACATTATGTACACCTAAAATATTTTTAAGATTTTTAAATATTTAAAAATTATAATTGTTATAAATAGAATTAACATAAAAATAACAATTTAAATCATATTTGTGTTATTAATGCAGATATAAACATTATATAAAATTAAATAGAATACAAAAACTGAAAATGTGAAAATATTATGATTTTGTTGCAGGTTTTTTTAATAAATAAACTTTTATGAAACAATTTGATATTTCATTTTTGTATCTAATGTCTTTAAATAATAAAGATAAAATTATTAGGTAATCATACTAAAAACAATTCTTATGAAATTCTGCAAAGTAATTTGTTTATACATATAAAATGAAACAAAACAAAAAAAAAAATTTATTGAATTAGCTTCAGTTTTATATTTAAATAATTATCTGGTTAAGTTTTATAAGTATCCTTGTAAATGAAATTAAAATATTTTAAAATTTTTATTTAAAAAATGTATTAAAAATGTTATATAGTGAAAACTTTCATTTGTTATTGTTATTTTTTTGTATAAATAATTCTGATTAAAAAATTTATCTTTATATGCTCTTCAAAGCATAAGTATTAATTATGATAAACATAGAATTATTTTGCTAATTTAAGTGAAAAACAGATTCCAGTCTAACTGATAATGTTCTTGTCTCTCTCCTAGTAAAGATGTTCACTTGAGACCAGCTTTAAAATTTAATTGTCTTCTTCTATAAGTTTATTTACTTTATTTAAAAAGTTTGTTTGTTTTAAGTTTCTTGTTAATTTGGTTCCATTTATTTTGTTAAAACATAGGCATTTCTTTGCTAATGCTTAAATTTTTAAAAACATTTTTTACCAGAATTCATTAGTAAACAGCAACAAAATAAAGTAATATTATTAATTCCTTACTATATTTAAATAAATAATGATGTTAGATAATTTCTTAATGTATTTTATACAAATTAAAAATAAATAAATTTGTTATACTGGATGTAAATCCAGCATAATAAATTTATTTATTTGTTATAGAAGACAGGAAATAAATGTAATATAAACATTTGAACTGACAAACTTTCACAGTGCAATGCATTTTACATCATCATCTAATGATAAATTTATTTTATTTTCTCTATTTCTCACCAAGATACTTGTTGTTATTGAATATAAATTGCAAAAAATAGAAATAAATGTTAGATTTATTTTAAACCAATAACACAACAAAAAATGTAACTGATATTTTTTGATGAAAGTACCAAATTTAAAATAAACTGTTATTAATAATGATCTAACAATCAGAGTAGAATGTAAATTGAAACACAATTTGAATAGAACGCTTTAAACATAAAATAATAATTTAGCATTAAAATATAATGATAATCATTATATTTACATCACAATAGATATAAATAAATGAAAAAAAATCTGTAAATTTTATTTTACAAAGTTTTAACCTCTAATGAAAATTCTGATAATATATCTTCACTTTCAATTTCTCCTTTTTTTTATTTTTGTTCATTATATAATCAAAACTTCTAGAAATATCAACAACATGAATTAGGTGTTAATACATAATTTTATCTTGTATTTCCTTCAATAACTGTAACTGTTATAAAACTTTTATAAGATAGTCTTTATCATTTGAAAACTGCAAAATACAATGATGGAAATAGATCTACAATTAGAAAAATTAAATCAAACATTTTCCTAATTTATCAGATTCAACTAAATAAATTTATTTTATTATTATTGTAATGTATTTTAAAATTAATTTATTATAAAGCATTATCTTACATGAGATGAATTTTCATTTAATAATGGAGTTGGTTCATATATACAAATTTGTCTTCCATATGCAGCAGCAATCTGTAAAAATTTAACAAACAATATCAATTTTAAAAAAATAACATTTTATTACTGTATTTACTTGCATATAAGATGAGGTTTTCATTAATTTTTCTCTACTTCAAAAACCTAGATCGTCCTATACATGTGAGCGAAGGATTCTTTGTGTTGTGGCCAACCTGACAACATTTCAACATATCCTCCACATAGTTTATGCTACCATTATAGGTCTATACTCTATTTATCGTAAGTTGGCACCTACTGAAAAAAATTAAGACACACACCCCTTTGATTATTGGTTTCATCCATCAATTAAAACTGCGTTGCATTTCATTCATACCCAGAAAATAGTTCTTCGTTATTTATAAAATTATTAATGAAATACAGGTTGCTTAGCAATAATTATAAATGCAGTTATTCCATATTAGTTAAATTGTTATTATTTTTAATGAATATTAGCACATTCTAAACCATTAAAAATAAACTTTTTCGGTCATGCACATTATAATGTTTCAGTTTTGTTTTCCATTCATTACGTATTAAGACAAACATGGTTGTTTACGTGTCTTAATACATGCCTTTGATAATATTTTATTTGTGATTAAACGAAATAAAATTAGAATTGTATTAATAAATTTAATTTTCTTTATTCTCATAAAATCACACCTTGTACTACATGCGAGATAGTCTTATATGCAAGTAAATACAGTAAATTAATATACTTTCAAAAAATAATTTAAAAACCTGAATTTGAATAAATGAAAATGCATTTTGAAATAAATAAATATTCACTAACTTACAATTATGAAGATAGATAAATTAATTAACTTTAAAGTTATTATGAGGTATCTACAGTATAATCATCTAATCTAAAGAAAAACTATAAAAACGTGCTCATAACTGGCATTTTTCAATGATCAATTGTGCAGACAAAACAACCTGATAAAATTTTATACCAATATAGTATACTTCTATAATTTGCTGATAATTCTGCTTATATTTAGCAGAATTATCAGCAAATTACAGAAGTAAGCAATTAGACTATTTGTAAATATTATATGATTAATGAAAATAATTGTCTTTTAATATTAAATGCATGTGTAAAAATAATTACAGAAAGATTTATATTCAAATAGTGTCACATTATATTAACTATATCATCATCAAAAAAGCTCTCTTCTGTGTTGTATCTTATAATTTTTCATATAAATAATTAGAATATTTTTTTAAAATAAAAATATAAAATTGATGAATAGTAAAAGTTTTAAATATTAACAGTATAAATTTAATTTATCAATTAGCCTTTAATCCCTTTATTTATATAATACAATATACACACAATAAACCAATATCAGCAAATATGAAATTAATAAATAAAGAAATATTTACTAATGTTTCCATACAATATGCTTTCTATACTAATAATTATAAACTCACTATACTTAGACTACCTAATAATTATGTACTATGTATTTGTAGAAAGTATATTGTATTAGTGTAAATTTAAGTTTTAAAATTACCTATAACTGTCAGTAAAAGTAAACGTCCTGTATTAATTGTTGAAACATTAAAAATAAAAATATATAGTATGATCATAATTTATAAGGCCAGATTTTAAGTTTTTTTTTTAAGTAATATGATCTTATAATGCAAAAGAACAATAAATAAATCTTATTATGCATGTAAAAATTAAAATAAATGCACTAGATATGTTCATATGCAGTTTAAAAAAACTGTATGAAGTTAATCTGTACTTATAGCAATGAAAAAAACTCAGTAAATATCATTTGCACATTATTTACATTTATACTATGCCTTTTTACTATTTTTTAATTTCAGTTAGTTTTTAAAAATTCTTACAATATGTATAAGTTTTCATTAAAAATTTTATTTATGTTAATAAATTAGAAGCTCTTTACATCTATATATATCTATATATATAAGCCATTCAACGTGTCCGTCTGTCTCGTAACCATTTGATAACGGACACTAGAGGCGCCCCTATCGTGTGTCATATTTCAAACATTCAAATTAACAATTTTAATTATTATTTAAATTAACAATATAAATTATTATTATTCATTTGGCCCATAAATTATTATTTGGTCAATATAACAATATAAATAATTCAGTATATTTGTAATAGGAATTTATTATTTCAGGGGCTTATATCTCGAGAAGGGTCGCAAGTAGGGGTATGGTTCCTTTGACTTTATTGTTCGCACAGGGGCTACATTTGGGGGGTCGCCACCTCTTCATTCGGAGGGTAAATCTTACCATTGGGACTTTAACAGAGCTGTACAGCATATTGATAGGAACAAAAAAGTCAAAGGAACCGTGCCTCATGGAAATTTGTAAATAACGCCCACTAGGGGGCGTCCCGGGCTACTAGTTTCAAATAAATCAAAAATTGTTTATGTTGATGATTGCAGTGGACATCATCTACTATGATATCAGAATCAAGCCAAAGTGATTATAATAACCAAAAGAATACAAAAAGGAAGAAAATGAAACAAAATATCTTGTATAGTATCATGGTAAAAAATTCATTTTTTCGATTGTCTAGTCTTTATGTAATAAATCATTGGTAAAGTATTCATATGAATACTTTACCAATGATTTATTACATAAAGACTATTCATAAAGTATTCATATGAATACATTAAAGAGTACATAAAGTATTCATATGAATACTTTACCAATTGATTCATCATAAAATCAATTGTACTCTGCATTGTAAGACCTCCAGCACTTGCCATATTTTGACAGTTATTTTAGGATTAGTTATATCAATCTGTCACTTTCTTCAGCCATTTCTTTCTTTACAGCAGAACAGATTTCTTCTTCTGTAAAAAGTTCTTCAGTGAAGATGTCTTCATCAATTTTCATCCATGCATTGATATTAGATACAGATATATTATTAGAACTTTAATCATCATTGTTTTCCTCCACTTCCTCTTCAGTTGCACCTTAATTTGCAGCTTTAGTAAATCCACCATGCTTAAAACAGTTGACAATCATGGTTGATGTAACTTTGTTCCAGCTTCATTTAAGGTGAAGAGCATCTAGAGAAGACTGATATTTTTTGACAGTTCTCCTGTATTCACTTTCTTGATTTCTATGTCTTGGAGAAGTCAACTATACATGTGGTGGCAATAGTATAGTTTCACAGTTTGGATTAAGTTCTGATCACAAGAATAAAGGAATGATGTCATAGTGGATGGCAAATATGCAATTTTTTATGTGAATTAAAGTGTTTGTTATTTGATGTGCCACATAACTGTCAACCAACAAAAGGATCTAATGCTCTCATTTCCTTAAAACAGCAAAGTGTTTTGTTTTTCACATCACCATCAAGATTTTTATCCTGTTCTTCTTATACAACACATGACCTACAATGCTATTTGGAAATTTTACAGTTTCATGCTCATTCATTTTTGAATAAGTAGTTATGTTTGAGTATAGCAAAGAAATAAAGGATAGTTTCATCAACATTGTAAACACTGCAAGGTAAAAATTCAGAAAGGAAAATAAGTCACTCTTCCATCATCCAATGTTTTGCTGAAGAAAAATCTGCATGTTTTTCTTCCTCCATGCATCCATTTATAAACAATGTTTTCACATTTTTTCCATTCAAGAAATATCCATAAATTACTGTAAAATTTGCATTACTATTTTTTTTAGCAAAGTTTTCAGCTTTATAACAAATGAGTGGACTGTTAATCAGTACATCATTCTCCTGTGCTTTTGCAAACTATAACTTCAAAGTTGTCTCTACTTCCCAATATTTTCTGCAGTAATGCCTTTTAATTTGGTTGTTTTCATTAGGTTATGCCACTTTATCAAGATTGTTCTTGTTCTTCAAGTAAGCACAATAAAGGCTGTGAGATTTTTAATTGGACTGCAACATTTCTTGGGCTAATTTTCTGAAAGATTATTGTAATATTCAAAAATCTTCAATTTATCCTTCAAAAACAGATCATTATGTTGTGCACTACTTTATTCATGATACTGTACAATAAAAAAATAGAATAGTGAAATACAGGGTGATTTTTAATTAATGCAAAACTTTAAACTTTAATAACTTTTCACTTGAATGAGCTAGAAAAAATTCAAAAAGTAGTATATAGAACAATGTTTACACTTTTAATGTCAATGATTGATTAATGTTAACAGTCATTTTCAAAATGGTGGCACTTGTTTATTGCATGTGTTTATTGTAAAAAATTATCAAAATTCTAATTCTCCAATTGGTGTTTTATCAGTGTACTAATCAGTGTGCTATCAGTGCTAGCAAAATTACTAGACCATTCTTCTACAAAAAAAAGATTATTTCTACTGTATATATTGAATTATTAAAAATGAAGTTTTATCCCAAAATACTTATTGGGCATAAACCTTGTCATGCTTGGTTTATGCAATATAATGCAAGGCCTCATCACACAAAGCAAGTGTTTAAAAGCCTTTACAGCATGTTTGAGAGGCATGCTATTGGATTAGATTATAAAAAATATGCTGGTGATGGTGTGGAATGACTTCCTTATAGCCCTGACTTAAACCCATGTGATTTCTTTTTATGGGGCTATCTTAAGGACAGAGTATATCACAATGCTCCTACAACTATTGAAGTGTTGATAGACACAATAAAAAAGAAGGAAATAATGATGATTCCAAGAAATACCTTTATCACTGTTACTGAATGTTTCAAAAATTGGTTAAAAACTATTATTGCGAGCAAAGGTAGTCATTTTGAAAATCTAATTCATAAAATGGCAATAAATTTTATATAATATGCTGTATAATATACTTTTTGAATGTTCTTTTTATCTCATATAGTTGAAAAGTTATTGAAGTTTAAAGTTTTGTGTGAATTAAAAATTATCCTGTAGATGCAATACAGTACACAGACCTCAAAAAATGTAAAAATAACTCATCTTCTATTAAATATGATAGTATGAAATGAGGCTGGAACTTCATTGATACAGTAAATATACCATTGTAAACATAAGTTCATGTACAGATAACCAACTGATAGGCATGTATCATGGTAGTCTTGATGGCATCCAAATTGCTACCGGTGTAAAGTTCCAGATTTTTCTCACATCTTGCTGTCTGTTTGAATAAACAACTGCTCCCTCAGAATAGGAGGAGAGCTGAAATAGTTAAAACAACAAGGTGTACAGTTACTGCAGTCTGCACACCTATGTTACATTAGCCACAGATATCTGAAACAACATTAGTTAATACAGTAGAGCCTCGAAAACTCGGCCTAATGTGGACTGAAGGGTGGCCCAAGTTTGTGAAAATGCCGGGTTATCGGGAATGGGGTTAAAAAAGGATAAGTATGCGTGTTTCCTAAGAAAATATTGTACTGTACTTGTATGTATTGTTTGCTTGAGAATAAAACAGAGAATAAACTGCCCAAATACCCTTAAACAAAGGAAAAGTACGTCCTTTATGAAGGCATAGATCCTTTACTACATGAAAATGAAAATTAATGAATACACTGTGTACAGTAATTTACCTGATAAGACAAACCTCAGAAAAATACTTTATGAGGCATAAAGCTGTCTATGATAAAAATTAATTATCTAAGGGTATTTTTGCCCTGCCAGGGTGTGGCTGAGTTATCCAGAGTCGGGTTATCGAGTGCCGAGTTTTCGAGGCTCTACTGTATCACTAATTAAAAAATACTATTAGCTTATTGCTTATGTCATAAACTGATTATATTTACTGAAGCAATAATCACATAATATGATGAAGTTTGCATAGAAAATGTACAGATGTCTTAGAACTTTGAAAAGTGATCACAATAAGAAGCTGATAACAGTAAACATGGTTTTAATAAGCAGTGTCCACTGTATTTACACATTTAAGGACTGAGTCAGAAATTTTATTGTTATTTCTATATTAAAATTCCTAATTTTATAAATTCTTGTTTATGCACACACTCCCAAACATAACTCTCATGTATAGTAAATCAGGCATATATGTGAAATCAAGATTCACTAATTTTTATATACTGTAAAAGTTAAGTTATTTTAATATTATCATCATCAACAGTTAAATTTTTTGTTATGATNTAAAAAACTTTAAATGCTAATAACAGGTAAAATTGTCATTAAGTCGAATCCTACTGGACCTCCTCTATCGCCCACCCTGTCTTTTATTTAATTAACCACCAAAATTTAATAGCTTCAATCCCCCTGATACACAAACCTCCTTGCAAAATTTCAGAAATTTTCGACATAAAGCACAGGAGTTATTAAGCTTCAAAGATGATAAACAAAATTGTGCCCCCCACCAAACATCCATATATACAGAAAAACCCTAAAATTTTTTTGCATTTCTGAATGTTTCAAGGTCCCGAGTCCAAACATGTAAAAAAATCTTGGGGGTCATTTTTGACTGATCACCATCTTCTCCCTCTGTTATAAATAACAGAGCCAGGAAAGTAAAACACCTGTGTATCTATTTGGTTCAAACATTAGTCTTTTTCAAAATATGCCCCTTCTGAGTTCATGCACTTCTCCCAGAATTGCTTCCACTGTTGGAAACATTTTTCAATCAGGATCTACATCAAGCACTTTGTTGTGTTAGTCTTTATTGTCTCTGCATACTGAAATCTCTTTCCTTTGAATGGCATCTTGAGTTTGGGAAAAAGTCAAAAATAGACCGGAGCCTTGTCTAAGGAGTAAGGAGGCCACTGAACCTGTGCAATACCCTGTTTTGTAAACAATGTCTGGATGAGATACAATCCATAGGCCCAGAACATTGTAAAGAATGAACCAGGTGCCAGACTGCTAGAGCTGTGGTCTCTTGCTCCTAACAGCATCTCATAAATGAACTAAAACAGTCTAGTAGTATTTCTTTGTCACATTTTTCCATGAAGAGCATACTCATGATAAACTACACCCTGGAGGTAAAAAAAAATGGTTAACATGATTTTCTAAGCAACATATTTCAAAAATATATCCAAAAGCTAATATTCAAGATGTTATAGGGTAAATGGTACAATTATTAACCACAAACAATGACAGAAAAAAACATGGGATATTTTGCTATCTACTAAAAGCAGAAAGTTGTATTAATGCTGCCATGCAATAATACCGGAATGATTTTTTAAAACTCTTATTAAAGAGATTTAAATTCAAAATGGCCAATTATTATCTGGTGGCAAATAACTGTACTGTTTACGCTATACTATTGGTTAGTATACTAAGTTGTTTGGATCTTTCAATAACAAGTTTATAGTGAACGACAATTTTGTTCTTGATTTGATTTGTATATAAATCAGTTATTCCAAAAAGATGTCTTTAGATAAAGTTTGAAAAAATACAAGTAACATCAAAATCTAACTCAATAGTTTCAATTATATAAAATTATATAATCCTAACTAAGGATTATATAATTTTTAATTGTTTTAATTTTTAAAATATCAACATCAACAACACTCAACACCTTGTCTTTTTTATAAACTTAATGAACCATGTTTTAAAATGTACTTTTCATATTGTATGAAAATTTTGCCAATTTTATTTTGTGTGCACAAAAAAGAAATTCCTTAAAAATTATTTATTGATCCACTTGTACCAAAATTCACCTGTTATTTATTGTTTATAATTTGTTGTTATGTATGACAATAAACCTAAAAGTTTGAATAAACAAGGAAATATTTTCAAAACCATTGCAACTTAAATGAATTTATGACTACAATCTTACATAAAATAACTATTTTGATGTTGTTCAAACAAAAAAAATAAATCAATTTCATATNATTGTATGAAAATTTTGCCAATTTTATTTTGTGTGCACAAAAAAGAAATTCCTTAAAAATTATTTATTGATCCACTTGTACCAAAATTCACCTGTTATTTATTGTTTATAATTTGTTGTTATGTATGACAATAAACCTGAAAGTTTGAATAAAAAAATATTTCCAAAACCATTGCAACTTAAATGAATTTATGACTACAATCTTACATAAAATAACTATTTTGATGTTGTTCAAACAAAAAAAATAAATCAATTTCATATATGCATTCTATAATCTTAATTTTATTACAAAACAACAATAATAATTATAAGAAAAAACTTGTTAAAAAAATGTTCAATACTTAACAAATGCATATATCACTCCTCATTTTTAGAAAATATTTCAGTAATATAAGTATTTCTGCAGAAGGTAACATAGTATCATTTTGCAACCCAATAAAATTTTAACGTGACTCAATATTGGGTCGCAACCCATAGTTTGAGAAATGCTGATCTAGAGCACTACAAATATCTCAACCTGCTACTTATAGCCCAATCTTGCAATCCTAAAACCAAGTCGTATTTTATGAAATAAAAAAAAGGTAGTCCATATGTAAAGTGACAGCTGAAAATGTGTTACTGTAAAAGCAAAGTTATATTGACAAGATTGAAGTTGTTCTTGGTCTATTGTTCTCTTATAGCATGAAGGCATTTCAATGTAAATGAATGAGTTAACATACACACATCACAGTTCAAAAAGAATTTTCACTTGAATTACAAAGTAGCTGTATTTTGAACTAACCAAATTCCTTATCATGTAAATCTCTATATCCCTGACAAAGATAAAAGTATTTTTACAGTAATTTTTACAAAGATTTCCTGTAAAAATTTTTGGCTGAAAAACTGCATGCTTTTGGAAAAGAAATGGCCAAAGACATGTATTTCTCAGATTATTTCATGTATCTTGGTAATAAAAAAAATAAGTACTTGAGTATAAAAATTTCTATAGTGTACTAGAATGTAACAAAATCAACACTGGGCTTCTAAACTATTCTATGGAGAATCATTGTATAAAAAGAGGGAATTACCAAAAACTCATCATCTTTCAAGGAACAAATTCAACCTCCTACATTTCAGAAACAGTATGAATTATATCTATTGATAATAATATATATAATTTCATTTACTTACTTTTCCAAGATCTGTTGAACAATCCAGGCATCCAACTTGGACATTCCCATGACAAATACCAGGTATAATTTGAATCCGTTGAAAATCACTAGCTAATATCACAATATTACATCCAGCAGCATATGCCTGAAATTTTTAAAATATTTTTTTAATGTATTATTTTAAAAATATTGTAAAACCAAAATATTTATGATCAGTTTCTTCAAATTCTATCATTCATATAATTATGTATATAAAAGTTTAAATTATACATATTTATAGTTTAGATTAAAATTCACTTATTTCTTTTGTTTATAAATTTTTTTATTTAAAAATTTTGTTAAACTCAAAATGTTCTATATTTATTTTCTAAAATATTACTTGTAAAAATATTTGTTTATTGTCCCAAATACTAATTACACCAAATAACAAAATAATTAATATCTGCTTTTCAATCATCATCAAATATGGAAAAAGTTAAGTAGGTATCTAGGAAGTATTCTTCCTTAGTGATTTACACTGCTGTGCAAACAATTTTTGATTAATTTAATTAAAATAATTAAAAAATTATTTACAAATTGTTGATTATTGTGAATTATTTATAAATCATTAAAATCTAATTTCAAATGATTTGTAATTTATATAATCTGACAAAAATCTGCAAATGAATATTTAATAGTTAATTGAATTTTCTTTAGGAACAGCAAAAATAATTTTTCCAGAAATTTTTACTTTATCTTGTTAAAGCTTAAAATCAAACTTTTCTAATATTTTTTTTATTTTTTGATTATTTAATTAATAAAAAAACATTCAATTTTTTTTCTAAGCAACATATTTCAAAAATATATCCAAAAGCTAATATTCAAGATGTTATAGGGTAAATGGTACAATTATTGGCCACAAACAATGACAGAAAAAAACATGGGATATTTTGCTATCTACTAAAAGCAGAAAGTTGTATTAATGCTGCCATGCAATAATACCGGAATGATTTTTTAAAACTCTTATTAAAGAGATTTAAATTCAAAATGGCCAATTATTATCTGGTGGCAAATAACTGTACTGTTTACGCTATACTATTGGTTAGTATACTAAGTTGTTTGGATCTTTCAATAACAAGTTTATAGTGAACGACAATTTTGTTCTTGATTTGATTTGTATATAAATCAGTTATTCCAAAAAGATGTCTTTAGATAAAGTTTGAAAAAATACAAGTAACATCAAAATCTAACTCAATAGTTTCAATTATATAAAATTATATAATCCTAACTAAGGATTATATAATTTTTAATTGTTTTAATTTTTAAAATATCAACATCAACAACACTCAACACCTTGTCTGGTACCTGTTACCAGTGTGTTCTGTGAAAAATAAAGTTTATCATTAACGTTTTAATTTTAAAAGAGTGTATCAATATTATATATTTTTTGACAAAATATTCTGATTTTTTATATATTTATAACAAATAGAAAACAGGAATTTTTAAACTTTAGAATTATAATGTCTGTAACAAAAAATAACTATAACAAAAGTTAATGAACAAACTATAGGATTATTTTGTTATAATCATTAGTTTCTAAAAATTAAAATTATACATTTTTTTATTATTTTAAAAATTTGTAAAATTTTTTAAATTATTCTTTTCTCTTTGTCATGTTTTCAATTTTTGCTTGTCATTCTGAAATATATAATTCAATATCTACTATAATTTATAAAAATAAAGCTTAAATATTTTATTTAAACTTTAAAAATATATATGAAATACACTTTCTCCAAAGCACTTATTACATATACACAGAACTTCATAATTAACATACTTCTATTCAAAATTATTTGAATCTAAATGTTGAAAGACAATAAAATTTGAAAATGACCTTTTTAGATTAAAAAAAAATTATTCTAAAGTTATCACTAGACAAAAATCTGAAACACTAAATAGAAGAAAATGTTTATAAATATACTATTGAGATTCTCATTTATATATTATTCTTCTAATGGAATTTTGAAATTTTAAAGTTATAATTTACTGGAGCAATTTTTCAGATTTAGCAGTTGTAAAAACTATAATATAGATATCCTTTTGCATGATACATGATGAATCATACTGCTATATATCAAAATGAGAACTGTATTGAATCATCGTAATTGATCTAACAGATTCATCAATTTCTGCAATTGCATTGCATTCATTATATATCAGTTTATTTAGCATATCCAAATTTTAAAAATAATTTTCCACAGTAAAATTCTCTTTTGTATGAAAGATTATCTATCAAGTTGAACCTGCAAAAAACTATTTACCAGTCAAGAAATATTCAATGTTATTAAAAGCATCCAAGCAGCTGTAGGACATGTAAATCAAGATACATGAAACACCAAAAAAAGATGCCAACTTAAGAACTGAAATAATAAATTTTTAGTAAATACTAGCTAGTATTGTCAATTGAATTTTATTAATTTTAAATTTATCTAGTTAAAACTAGAATTAACAAAGAAAAAGCAGCTTTGTTGAAAATGATTTTGCCTAGTAAAATCAAGTTTTGACTATAATATATATCTGTTATAATATTTTATTAAAAAACATTTTATATGTTTAATTATCATAAAATGGTAAAAGGCTTAATTTTGAGGGTAGAGATGGGTTTTATAAAAAACTTTAAATGCTAATAACAGGTAAAATTGTCATTAAGTCCAATCCTACTGGACCTCCTCTATCGCCCACCCTGTCTTTTATTTAATTAACCACCAAAATTTAATAGCTTCAATCCCCCTGATACACAAACCTCCTTGCAAAATTTCAGAAATTTTCGACATAAAGCACAGGAGTTATTAAGCTTCAAAGATGATAAACAAAATTGTGCCCCCCACCAAACATCCATATATACAGAAAAACCCTAAAATTTTTTTGCATTTCTGAATGTTTCAAGGTCCCGAGTCCAAACATGTAAAAAAATCTTGGGGGTCATTTTTGACTGATCACCATCTTCTCCCTCTGTTATAAATAACAGAGCCAGGAAAGTAAAACACCTGTGTATCTATTTGGTTCAAACATTAGTCTTTTTCAAAATATGCCCCTTCTGAGTTCATGCACTTCTCCCAGAATTGCTTCCACTGTTGGAAACATTTTTCAATCAGGATCTACATCAAGCACTTTGTTGTGTTAGTCTTTATTGTCTCTGCATACTGAAATCTCTTTCCTTTGAATGGCATCTTGAGTTTGGGAAAAAGTCAAAAATAGACCGGAGCCTTGTCTAAGGAGTAAGGAGGCCACTGAACCTGTGCAATACCCTGTTTTGTAAACAATGTCTGGATGAGATACAATCCATAGGCCCAGAACATTGTAAAGAATGAACCAGGTGCCAGACTGCTAGAGCTGTGGTCTCTTGCTCCTAACAGCATCTCATAAATGAACTAAAACAGTCTAGTAGTATTTCTTTGTCACATTTTTCCATGAAGAGCATACTCATGATAAACTACACCCTGGAGGTAAAAAAAAATGGTTAACATGATCTTCACATTGCTGCATGATTGCTGTACCTTCCTTGGCTCTGGAGACCATGGAATTTTCCACTGGAAAGATTGTGCATTTGTCTGAAGGTCATACCTGTAGACCCAAGTCTCATCTCTGGTTATAATCTTTATAAAATCAGGATCTATCATGTTCCTCCAAATCACTGTGATAACAACATCATATACATGCAACTATCATGGCTGCCTGACAGTGACTGAAAGATAGAACAGGCTTGTCAAAATTCACACACATGCTGTATGGTCCAAGGTCATATGATGACAGTCTCCTCTCCAGCTTGCAAATACTTTCAAAGAAAAAATTAAGGTTGGATACTTGTTTTGATCAGCCCTTGCATGTTTGCATGTAATGTGTATATATATATATTTGAATTATGAAGGAAAATCTACATAAATTATATCATCAAAAAATTATCATCATTAAAAATACATTTTTTTGTTTGTAATACTGTAATAACATCATCAAATTTTAATATAGAAAACTGATATGTTATATCAACCTATATGATAAAAACCATATTCATATGATCAAATTTCAATAAAACAATAACATTTAATAAAAATTAAAATTACATACAGTAAATGGAATTCCTTGGACGCTTCCTACTTCAGAACAATGATCTCCTGAATTTACTGCTCCTGTTAAGATCTGATGGCAATTCATTTTCAACTATTAAAATTGCATATTTTGATTTTCCATTTTATTATTGCCAATTTATAAACTCATCTGAAAAATAAAATGTTTAAATTAAATATTTTAAATAAACCTTAATAAAAATTTTTTTTGATTTCATCGATTTATTAACATCAAAAATATTTTCATCATTATTTAGTATTAAATATAATTTTTACTAAATTATTAATTTTATTTTATTTTTATTTATTCTTAACATTGAATGTTTTTATTTTTAACAAAAATATATAATTTTTATTTATATTTAAAAACAATCAAATGAAAAGTAATATGCAATTAAAAATTATATTAATTTCATATGTAGTTGATCCTTAACTTTCAAACGTTTGACATTCAAACAATTTACTCTTCCATAAATAATACTTTTATATCCTTAAATCACTTTTTTATATGCCAAATTTATACTGACATACATTGACAACTCTCTGTACTTGTGCTTTCTGCCAGTTTTGATTTAGGTAACAGCAAAATCATTTGTGAAAATTAAGTTTTGTTTGTTTGTTTTCTAATTACTTTTTGTTTTAATGTTTTAAATAATGTTATATGCATTACAACATTACAACAGTAATTTTGATATAGAAACAGAAAATTGATATCTAATCAGACTGATCAAATCAATAAAAACAGAAATATTCTATCTGAAATTATTGTTAAACTTAATTATAATTTCTATTTGAGTTCTGAATCTGTTTAGTCTAGATTTTTAAAATTGCATTATTTGCAGATTGTTATTATGTGGTATCTGCAGATTCATACAGTAGGCTACATGTTACACTCGTCGATGCTGTTTTCCTATTCTTCTTTTTTTGGATAATATGCACACTTTTCTCTCAATACTGATGTTGCCTGTGGAGGATCTGGTTTCTTTCTCAACACTTGCAGGATTTTCATATGAAGATCCTCACCATCACTGTCTGCAAAGAAGATCCTACATTTTCTTACTCAGACTCCTCATCAAGCCATTTCGGAAACATTTTATCGTGTTTTATGATGGTACATACATACATCACTTCACAATTAGAATCACACCACTTCAAATGAAAAAAAAAACAGACATAGGGTGAGTCCACACTAACTTGTCCAACACATCTGAAACAAAGACAGCACTAAAAGCATTAGCAATGACTCTTATTTCTGATTCCAGTATCTTGTTGAAGGGGATACTCGGATAGAAAGGTAGATGAGAGTTTGGCCACAAAACTTCCAAGAAAACCAAGTTACAAGCATTTTAAACAAAAAGTGAGCACAGCATTCATCCTCAAGCAACAATGCATTAAAATAAATATACTAAAAATTATAGTCAGTCATCTCATCAATTTTATACATATACAATTTATAATGTTAAAATTTTAACAATTAAATTAACAATAATGCTAAAGTTTCTAATATAATCCCTCAAACAATTGCTTCAGAACTTTAAGAATTTTCAATACAAACATCAAAAAAGGAAAAATCCCCAATCTAAAAGTATTTCTATATCATCTAATTTATTTTTTAAAACACAATCATCTTTCCTATAATGCTCTATGGTGTTCTTAAAAAATTTCACATTACAGAATTTCATATAATAAAAATAGCTCATACTCATAGGCATTGTAAGTAGATAAAGTACAGTAGAGAGATGACAAGGTAAGTATTTTGCATATTCTGTGGATTGTTATATTCAGCTAGATGGAAAGTTCCATCTTCATCTGATGTTACTTGCAAAGTATAATCACCTCATGAAAAATTGCAAGAACTAATATGATTTTGCATTTTAGAAATTTTATTTTCCTATTTATTTACCAAGTATAAATAAATTCACACAATGCATGCATGCATTATAACAGAAGGAATTATATAATAATAAATTTTAACTTATTTACCAAATAGCCACAAATGTTAATTTTTAGAGACTCAAAATTTTCCTCTTTAAATTTTTTTTATAAATTTTAATCAACTGACAGCTTAAAAGCTAACAACAAAAAACTTAATGAAAAGACATGAAAATTTCAACACCATCCATATATTTCCAGCAACCAAATTTATTAACACCACAAACATTTTAGATATAAGGACAAAATATACAATGTTCTATATTTTAAAATTAAATAATGTAACATTTCAAATTCAAATGTCATCAAATTGAATGCTATATGTAAAACTCGATGCAGACTAATGAAATAAGTCAAATATTTGTGATTTTAATAAATTTGGTTGCTGGAAATGTATGGTTATTGTTGAGGTTTTCACATTAATCAGAGTGCTTACTTTGTAAACAAACTTCATCGACTAACCCATTGTATACAGAGCAATACACCAACCAATACACCAACCAAGATCAAATACACCAACCAATGGAATTATTGGGCTAGAACCGGCTAAACTAATAATAATTTATTAGTTTAGCCAGTTCTAGCCCGATAATTTGGCTTTGGTTGGTGAAGTGCTTACTTTGTTTTAATGTAAAGAAAAAAGCTTTTATGAAGAAATTTCATTATTTATTCAAGTTGTCTTTGTTGTATCTTCAATGATTAGTCATCATGTATTTAAAGGAAAATATTTATAACTGTATCACAATTTCTAATCTTTCTTTTCATTCATTCCATTTTAAATTGAATTTTCTCTTTTCATTTCAATAATTCTATTTATTAATCAGCCAATGTAAAAAACAAAAAACAACTGAAATTATTGCACAGAACAAAATATTCCTCAAAATCTGTTTTTTTACAGTTATTTTATATTCTTAAAAATCAATTTTCTGAATAAAACCAATAACATAAGTATGATTTACAGATTAAATAGTGNACTAATATAGAATATTTACAATACAATTAAAGATTTAGCATCCATTAAATTAAATCTTCTATAAATCTCAATAGTTCTTCCTAGTAAAATATTCAGGAAAATATAAAATTTAAAATGATTAAATACTGTAAATTAATGTATTAAAAAAATTTAATTTGCTGTTAGCATTTCTTTTTGAATTAACATTTATAATTCATTTTTCCCCAGATTTAATAAACATTTAAATACTATAAAACTAAAATACATAAGTACTGTACAATAATCCACTAATTGTAATAATTTAAAGACTCATTTATACCTATAATAACAACTAACTGATCACATTAAATGGCATAAGTAAGACTAAAATTAGTGAAAGTTCTGGTTATATTAATTATGACATTAAAAGACATGTTGAGATAATTAAAAATATATACAGTAAGACTCCACTTAATGCGGGGGATAGAGATATTTACTAGAGAGCAGTGATAACTACAGATATTTTATACCTATATGTATAATACTATTCTAAATTGTTTTCATTTAATTCTTGATTAACAATCAACATAAATCATGTGCACATTACTCATATACATCAATGTGTTGAATTTTAACAATAAATTATGAACAATAGTGTAATTTTTGATTAATTATTTTTATCAGAAAACATTTATTGAAAGAAGAAACAAATGTTCCTAAACTAAATCTGCAGACATTTTCAAATAATTAATAACTCTTTAAATTAATATTTCTCCATGAGTGAAAGTACAAAATAATTTTAAAACACTGGAATTACCTCCATTTTATAAGTATTCCAACCAAGATATTTGTTTAATATTTTTATACAATTATAATTTTGTTTTTAACAAAAGGAACACACTAAATTATTGCTATCAAAAAATATAGAGAAAATTTACATATTATATTACATTGATGACTATTCAAACATCAAGAGTTTGAATACAATTTGTTTGAAAATAATATTGGACATAAAATAATTTTATCTGTAATAATTATTTAACTTTGTAACAGTAACATATTGACTTTGCTAAGAGTTATATAAACATCTTAATTTTCTGATTTCTCATGTTGAGGGAAATCCTTTCCTATGGTAAAAAGTTAACATGATTCATATCTTGCTTCTGACAGTGAGTTTCTTTTCCAATTAGGAAATGTCAAGAGAATTCTCCCAATCAATGAAGATTTAAATGAGATCAATGACAATCCTATTCTGGAGGAGGATACTTTAAATTGGAAAATAGCTTAATAATTACTAAAAAGTAAATACTAGAATTGAAAAAACAACAGTTTACTGGTTAATATCAGTTAATATCAATAAAACTCCTAACTTAATAACCAATCAATCAGTAAAACAAACATTCACTTGAAAAGTAAATGTTTTCATCCATTTTTAAAGAATATCTTCAGGCTGGAGTTCTAATGTGAAATCATATGATTTTCAAACAATTTGGATTTTCTAAATTGTCACTGCTGATTGAAGGAGATTCTTCAACAGGAGATCAAGATTATATACATACTGTACCATATCCACTTATTAACAATTCTCACATCTCCTCCAATCAGTAGTGGCAACGTTGAAGTTCCGAATCACTCCAAAATCGTGATACTCCATATTAGAACTCCAGTCTGAAGATGTCCTTTAAAAATGGATGAAAACATTTGCTTTTCATGTGAGTGTTTGTATTGCTGGTTGTTTGATCATTGAGTTAGAAGTTTTATACTAGAATACTTTTTCACGAAGATACTGATTTTATACAAATAATAAAACTGTATTATTATATTTTTGATTGAATAATTTTATAGAAAAACCAAAGAACTAGATTTAAATAAATTACATAACAGGAAAGCTTATAGAAATTTTTTTTACTGCACTTATAATAATGCAGATTTTCAATAGAAATTTGATACTATTGCCAGATAGGGAACCAATTTATCAAAAGACTAAAAAAATATATATGATATGATTTTAATTCTACATAAATTTAAGCTTTGTATTTACCAAATCTCACTGTAACAATGATAATTAAAAACATTAATAAATCAGCAAATAACTTTATTAAAGAAAAGTTTTTGGCTTTTGGAAAACTTTTTCAGATTACTACTGAAAGATTCAAAAAATAAAATAAACAATAAATTTAGAATTCTCTAAATAGAATATAAATAGTAAATAATTTAAAATGCTGCAATTTTTAATTAAATTATATCATATTTTAATGTAATCTAACACTTTTTAATTATATAATCAA